CTACATGACCTTGAGTCAGTCAGTTAACCTTTAGTTTCCCAGTTTATACTTTGTTTATCCTTAACTTTAGTATCTTTACCTACAAAATAAGGAACATGGAGTTCATCATTTTATGGATTTCATAAGTTTTTTAATAAGGAAAACATTTTTTATATTCATGTGCATAAAGAATTCAGAAAATTATTTGATGTAGTGATTACTCAGTACATAACTTATTATTTCTTGCATTTATCTCTTCTAAAGACTATTCATCAGTAGAAGGGGGGTTTATTTCTTAAAAGTGGGGCAAAATATTTACTTTTAAGGAAGAGTTTATAAAATGAATGCAAAAATTGTTTTTGATATTCAAACCTTGTTCTCATTCCTATTTCTCCCTATTTTTCCATTTCAGCAAACTCTAGACTAAACTTATGCCGTAATGACTGGGTGCAGATGAAAGAGAAATTTTATAAATTTTTTGAAACTTTTAAATCCTGGATCGAGAGCCAAAAATCATGTTCAATAATGAAATCCCATCTCTTGATGATCCAAGACGAGGCTGAACTGGTAAGAGCTAATTTTCTATAAAAATTAGCCCTTTCAAAACTAGGAGAAATAGGTACATTTTATAATCAAAGATTTATAGTACTAATAATTACTGCCATTTATTTAATTCCTGCCATATGGCAGACACTGTGCTAGGCATGTTACAAATGTTACATAACTTACTGCTCACAATAACCTTGTGACATAGGCAGTATTTTCCCCATTCCCATAAAAAGAATCTGTGGAACTTGACAGGTTGTATACACTTGCCTATTTTATGCTGTAAGTAAATTGCAAAGCTAGAATACTTACGTATTCTTCCACATTACCTCTTAGAGAAAAAGATAGGAGCTACTTGGGGTACTCATCAAAAGCATTACCAATATCTGGGAATATCCCTAGTGTTTTGGGTAGGAAAGATGGGGCTCTTTAGTTTCATTTGTGTGTAGATTCACCATAGCACCAGTTTTCTTCAAGACTGCACATTGGTAGACAAAGCAATCCATGTATAATTGTTGCTCCTTTTGGCAGACTGACTCATGCCTAGTTTTTGCTTCACATCCTCTTTGCATCCTTTCATCAGTTGCTGTTTATATCACCATCCTCATGAATTACATGAAGCCGAACCTGCCTTCACATAATGTAGGCAGGAACCATGCATTTTGAATAACTTCCTATATTGATTTCCTTGCCTAAATATATAGAAAACCTCTTCAGCCTTCTTAAGACTTTCTTGATTATGAAGATAAAATGTCAAAACTTTTAAAAATCTGGAAAAAGTCAGAAGAGACTATTTTAATAGGTATAACTCAATTAATTTCCTCTGGATCCCCTTTCACAGGATTTCGTGCAGAACAGGATACAAGATGGAGTCTACTATNTTGACAGGTTGTATACACTTGCCTATTTTATGCTGTAAGTAAATTGCAAAGCTAGAATACTTACGTATTCTTCCACATTACCTCTTAGAGAAAAAGATAGGAGCTACTTGGGGTACTCATCAAAAGCATTACCAATATCTGGGAATATCCCTAGTGTTTTGGGTAGGAAAGATGGGGCTCTTTAGTTTCATTTGTGTGTAGATTCACCATAGCACCAGTTTTCTTCAAGACTGCACATTGGTAGACAAAGCAATCCATGTATAATTGTTGCTCCTTTTGGCAGACTGACTCATGCCTAGTTTTTGCTTCACATCCTCTTTGCATCCTTTCATCAGTTGCTGTTTATATCACCATCCTCATGAATTACATGAAGCCGAACCTGCCTTCACATAATGTAGGCAGGAACCATGCATTTTGAATAACTTCCTATATTGATTTCCTTGCCTAAATATATAGAAAACCTCTTCAGCCTTCTTAAGACTTTCTTGATTATGAAGATAAAATGTCAAAACTTTTAAAAATCTGGAAAAAGTCAGAAGAGACTATTTTAATAGGTATAACTCAATTAATTTCCTCTGGATCCCCTTTCACAGGATTTCGTGCAGAACAGGATACAAGATGGAGTCTACTATTGGATTGCATTGAACATTACACATCCACAAAAGACATGGGCCTGGCTGGATGGCACCCCATTAAATCCACAGTTGTGAGTGTTTGGCTTCTGAGTACCACTGGGGAAATATTAGAGCTCAGCAGCCAATGTCTGCTGGGGGCTTCCTGAAACTCTATTTAGCCAATTTGTTTCTATAGATTGAAGACTTTGATTTTTGTTAATGTGTAGGTAGGATACTTTTCTTACAGAAATAAGGCTCCTAAGCTCATTTATTTTCACATTTGGGCTTTCTTTTTGTTTACCTATAATTCTAGAGGTATAAATATAAAATACTCTAAATTTAAGTTCTTATGAAATGTTTCTTAAAGGTTGACAGAATAATCCTTATTTTGATTAGTAGAAGGACGTCAGTTATTAAGAAATACTAAGGAATAAGTTATAAATAATGCAACAAGTGCAATTTGACTCATTTTAAGTTCTGTTACCCCCCAAACAACATCTGTTTCTACTTTTATGTACCTCATTCATTTCTGCTTAAATTCAATGGGTAGAGAGCACTGAATCTTTGGGGCATTGTGTGCTAATCCCCAAAACACAGCCAGAAGATCTGGGGATTCAGGGTGAAATCTTCTATTCACAGTATCAAGGTTTCAGGGATCATCAAAAGTTAAACTTCTTGGAGACTTTGGTTTTTGTGGTGGCTTTCAAAAAGATGTGAAGTTCAGGAAATAAGGAAGAATATAGATATTCTCAAGTGATATAGCAGGCACAGTGGGCTGGCTGAGCGATAGTAAAAAATGCCCTGAGCAGAAAGTCATCCTACAAATGAATATTCTTACCCAGATACTATTTACAATATTTCTCGTTAAATTTACATTCTACACCTACCCTTGTCATACTGTTTGTATGACACACACACTAAATTAATGAAAAACTTTTACCTATGATTATTTCTAATAGAAATCTACAAACATTGTTTTGAAGTTATATTCTTTCAATCCACGTGCAAACGTGTTT